CTGTTTGTGGCTGGGCAACAGAAATATAATTGATTTTATATTTATATTTATATTGATTTTGGACCAGTAACCTTGTTAAACTCTCATATTGACTTCAGTTATTAATCTACAGATTCCTTTGAATTTTTATGAATCATATCACCTGCAAATTTTTCTCCTTTCCAATAATATTAGATGGTAGATGGCCTTTATCAGATTAAGGAGGTTCCCTTCAATTCATAGTTTGTGACAGTTTTAATAATGATTGGATGTTGAATTTTATCAAATGCTTTGTCTGTATTGATATGACTATGTGGATTTTCTTCTTTGGTCTGTTATTATGATGGTTGACTGGATTCCAAATGCTAAAACAACCATGAATTCCTAATACAAACTCCACTGGGACATGATGTTTTATTTTTTTAATACACTGCTAGATTCAGTTTGCTAAGATCTTGCTGCAGACTTTTACATGCATGTTTATGATGGATACTTGTATGTAGCTTTCTTTTCTTGAATTACCTTAATTTAATTTTAGTACAAGGATAATGCAGGCATCATAACATGGGTTGGTGTTCTTTTATTAAAGTGACTGCCCTCCATGTCCTTACCTTCTCTCTTTTTTTTTTTTGGTATGAGGACTTGAACTCAGGGCCTTGTGCTTGCCAGGCAGGTGCCGCACCACTGAGCTAAATCCCCCAGCTTTCTACCCTCTCTTGTTCATTGAGGTTTTTGTTTATTTTTAGTTGGAAAGAAGACTATAAACTTCCAGTGACACCATCAAAATGGATGTCTGCATATTACCTATGTGGCATACAGAGGAGGCTGATGAAGGCTTTGCTCTGGAGGTATTTCTGGTATAAGTTAATATGTGCTATTAGTTGTAATTATAGCATCTCTGATGCATAGGAGCTTTGGAAATATGGATAGAACTGAGGAATTTTTTGACAGGTTAAAAGAAACAAAATTCTGACCTTGTGAAGCTTATGTTATGAAGTACAGAGGATCTTATAATATATTTTTTAAAGCTTATAACATTAAAACAAATTCCCAGAATAAATTTGTGGTGTGGTCAGATGTGGTATGATGGCAGACAAATGAGATTTTCTTTTACTAACCACTCAGGAAATAAGTGTTATTTCTTTTAGTTCAGTCAGTGCACTGAAACTGTTAGGGTTAAGGTAAACCAGGAGGGAGAGTTCAAACATATGTATTTTTGTGATGACATGGATGAGGATCTTGTAGGTAAGAGTCAGGGGCCCCAAACACATCAAAGAACCAGAGTAATATGCCTACAGTAAAGTATTGGGTCAAAAAAAATTGGACGTTTTATCCAAGGGTGTGAAAATGGGCCTCAGTAGCAATGCATTTGAGCAGAGCTGACAATATTGTTTCAAATCTTACTTTTCTGTATCGCATGCCCACTAACACTACAGACCCATTCAGTTTCCATACAGGGAAATGGCTCTTTCCTTTCAGACAGGAATGGCACTCTCAAAGTCATACTCAGATCTTAAGGGACCTTCCACCTAGTTGGCCTCTTTTTCACCATCCTCCTCAGAGTTCCTTTCTCCTTCTTCTATTTTCTTTTTAAAGACAGGATCTTGGTAAATTGCCCAGGGTGGGCTCGAACTTGCTATCCTTTTGTTTCAACCTCTCAGAGTGCTGGGATTATATGAGCGCACCACCATGCTGGGCTGTCCCACTGTGATTTTTACAACTTTATTGAGTTCAGTTTTTCTTCAAACTGAACATATTTAAAGTGTGCAGTTTCATAAATTTTGTTGCATGTACATAGGCTATGAAATCATTACTGCAATCATGATAAACATTTTCATTACCCTCGGAATTGTCTCATGCCCCTCTGTAATCCCTCCTCACTCCATCCCCATCCCTACTATAAACATTAAAAAAAGTTCAGATAAATAAATTATAATAATGGCAGAAGCATATTTTACCAAAATACTGATCAGTGTCTCCTCTTCTCTCAGTTAAAAACAGGGTGTAAAACACTGTCTAACTTTTAGCCTGCTGTTACAGCTTAAACTTTCTAACAAAACAGGTGTTTTTTTCTTTCTTTTTCTCTGCCTGCCTAACTTTCTTTTCTTTTCTCGTCTCCTTCCTTCATTTTTGGCAGTGCTGGGGGTAGAACCTCAGGTCGTGCTCATATCAGGCAAGTGCTCCATGACTGAATTCACCCCCACCCAGAAAAGGTATTTACAAATTCTGGCAAGGTAAAGAAGAAAGCTCTGGTTGTCTTTTCTCCCAGTAATGAAATATGCTTTATCTTTAAATGACTGGAAGTGAATCAAGGCTTTGAGTGTTTTTTGCTGGTGTTGGGGTAGAATGGGCATGAAAGCATACAGAGGGACAAGAAGAAGGTACAACTATAAGAAAATAACACTTAAAAAGGATTGCACCAGCTTGTAAGAGTGCAGGGCTCTGCTGATGAGATGAGGCTACTCATCCAACCTCTTTGAAGACCTTCCTCCCTTTATTCATAAATTTCAGATTTGACTCTAACTAGTACCCCACTGAGAATTCTTGGGTGATTCACTTGGATTTTGTTTGGCTAACAAAGAAAGGAATACAACAAACAGGTGCTGCAATATGAAATGATATCAAGTTGTAAACTGATGGGAAAACTGATGGGAAACTTCATCTTTAGTATTAAACAACAAAGACATACCATTCCTGAAGTTCAGGAGAAGGAATGAGACCCGCAGTTCCATTTTTGGAGTTTTCCAGTTTACCCTGCCACCAGTTGTGATCATCCTTACTAATGATCTGGATGATGTCGCCAACTCTGAATCGAATGCCAGCTTCTTTGCAGGGGATGAGGTCATCCTTGGCTGGATCATATTCAAATTGTGCTCTTACATAGATCTATAAGACAGGAGTTTGTAAGAAAGGAGGCCATTTTGATGGGAAGGCAAACAGTGAGCTCTAATCTAAAAATCATACACTGACATGGTACAAACTAGACATCAGATGGTGAAAGCAATACGATGCATGAAGATACAACACAAGAAACTTCTACCACTTGAAATAATGTGCTACTTTTGATGTGGAGTTTCAAAACTTTGTGGTTTGTATTTGGAAGGAACCCTTAAAATACTTGTTTAATAAAAATAAAGACTTAAGTTATGCTTTTAATAAAACAGAACAGGTCTATAATTACAGAGACATATGATCACCACTTTGAAATGTGCATTGGTTATACAGATGTTATGGATAAGCTGTCATAACCACGTGGCAGCCTTGAAACCATAAAGACTATAGGTCAGGGTAGGTTTTAGCTCTAAAGCAGCATGTGATATAAAACTAGCAAGAACTCTGGGCTGCTCTCTTGCTGTAACGTGCTTACATGACACCTGGCAGGGTGTGTAACACAAGAGTTAAAAAAGTTAAAAAATAAGCTTTATTTCCTTAAAAGGACTTAGGTTTTATATTGTGGGTTATGCTTCTTAAGTAAAAATGAATTTGAATCCTACCTTAGCCAGTGTAGCACTTGAAATCAGCACAGAGCCACAAAGTATGCATTGTTCAAGGCTCTGAGTTTTATAATATGTGAACTTATTTAGACAAAAGATTACTTAGAAAACTCAAGGGGTTATGATATGGCAGTATTCCATGAATTATTGGATTTCTACATGCTGTAAAGTATGGGACCATATATTCAATGTTACATCATTTATGTAGTCTTAAGACTAAACTATGGATGAATTCTATCCAGTGCTAATTTATGCAGCTCTTAAATTCAAAATATGCACCACATTTTAAGAAAAAAAATCCCATAAAATTCTATGTTTTGAAATTAAATTTGAATATTAATGTTTAAGTCACTGTAAAACCAACCTGAAGGCTTTGAAAACACTTTTTTTCTGCTTATTTTTCACAATCCAGCCTATAAAATTTACAAGTTCTAGCATTTGAACCTAAAATCCATACTTTAAAGTGCTGGCAATTTCAAATTTACTTGCTAGTATTAAGCAGCACTTAACTTTGCTATTGAACTAACATAGGTATATTAGGGCATGAAGCCATGATATTTATGTTCTTTTTATTTTTATTGTAAATGACTTTTTTCCTTATTTTTCATTGTAAATGGCTTTTAGAAATACAGATACAAATACAAATTTAAGAAAAAGCTTTCACTTCAGAAAATTGCTTAAAAATGTTTACTAGCAGGTACTTTTAGTTACTTTCAGCGTTCTATGAATTTTGTAATCTTTAAAATTCTTTTCTACCCCAAAGGCAGGCCCATAAGACCCTTAAAGGCTGAGTTCTTAGCCATCAACACAAAATTATCAGGTTGAAATTACAATAACTATCACAGCTACAAAGATGTGAAGAAAAAAATCTTTATAGAGAATTAGTCATGTGTAATGTGTTAAAATGAAATGATACAAGCTCTCAATGCTCAAACGTTATGGTCCAAAATGCAAACATTATGAGATGGAAAGGGTTAATAAAGGATTGGCCATTAGCAGCTCAGTTTAGAGAAGTTTCTATAGAGGATATCTATTCACCTGTCGTCCTTTTGGTTGGGTAGTTGATGGCAAGTCCTGTAGAATAAAGCCAACCCAGGAGAAACATTTTCATTTACTTATCAAGAGTACAAGGTAATTTGTGTGTTCTGTTACAATATGGTTAAAAATGAGCTAGATTTAAGTTGTAAAGAGATCATATACATTATCCATTTCTCAGAAATGTTGAGTTATCAAAAAAATCAAACCCAGGCCATTTAGCAGCAAGCTGAAGAAAGCAGGTAAGTTGAAGCAGAGAGAAAATGTGTTTTTAAGAAACAACTCAGCATCTTCAACACAAAAGCCACTGCAAGTGAAATAGCCTATTAAAAAAACCCGAAACTAAAAAGAGCCATTGCCCTTTTCAACTTAATCACTGCAACCATTTAGATTTTGAAAAATTCAATGTCCTATGGATTTCTAGCATCTTAAAGGCATTACATGTTAACTGTTATAAATGATTTCCTTGGGTAACCTATTTTGAAGTTGGAAATAAAGTTATGGACAATTTACTTCCACAATTTCTCTCACTGGTAGACTTACAATATCATTCCATTTGATATGATCTCTAAAAAGTAAAATTACTTATAATTTTATTTAGTAAACTTGATATATTTCTACAGGGCAAATTAAAGTCAGGAAAAAAGCAATACTGCTGCATTCTTACAACTCTCCGTAATTGCAACTGAGTGACAGACAGCAGTATCAGCAACTTACAGAAGATTTAGTTACCTCCAAAGATTGAAAACCTCCCCCTGTAAGTGCTTCCATTTGTTTAAATAAATTAAAAAACCAATTCTTTCTATATTCCAAAATGGATAGTTGTGAGAAAATGGAAACTTTTGAAGTTTGAGTCAAAGGTAAAGTACTTTGTGTTAAAGATGTGATAATAGCGTGGCTTAAGTGCAGTGTGAAGCCGGTTCCTTTTGCTTTTCACATCCAGGCAAGGCTTAAAATCCACGAAAATATGTGCACGTACCACAGTAACAGAGGGCACACCAATTCGTAAACTTAGATAGCGGAAACTAAAACATGTTGCTGATACCCCTTAGGATGGAAAACTACGAAGCCTGAGAACACCCAAATGCCCACTCTGCAACATCACCCCCCTTCTTTATCTGTTACCAAATTTTCAAAAATTTAGAAAGTTAAAAACAAATTTCCATTTATCAACTTTGTGTAGGTCTGAGCAAAGTTATCCATACTGGTGGGGTGGCATGGAGATATTTTTAGAATGACCAGAGCAGTCTCCAACTACATTTGTTCAAATGTAACTAATGAAAGGGATTTTTAAGAAGGACATTTTAGAAAAGATTTTCCAGGAGTAAACTACATTGTAGCTGTAGTAGCCTTGTATATCTTCAGAAGACAATTATTTCCACTGAACACAGGTAACTAGAACACTCATGGCAGGTGAGCACCAACAGAATTGTCACACTTTGTTGTGTGGAGCTAGAGTTCTTACCGAAACAGAATTGTTAGTGCTGCTATGACCATTAGCAGGGGACTGTCTGGAAGTGGAGGGGGAATCTCTCTGAAATAAGACACAAGGTTCATTAACACAGAACACCAGAACAGAAACACAGAGATATTTACATCAACAGTTACAACCACAATCTGACAACCATTTCCTTTGAGGTTTGAACTATAAAGACGCCATACTGACTTACTTGCTTGATTTCACAAAAGTATGAAAAAAAGTTTGCAGTCTGAAGACTCACATACTGTAAGTGATGACTGCATTGTCATTAATCATTTCTTTCCTGTCTCCCATATTCTACAACTTTTGCTTTTTCTTTTGAGGGAACCCAGAAGTGACATTATATTAAAACCCTGTCAAATATTACAAGATGATAAATATTACTATAAAATTATTGTGCAGAAGAGCCCAACTACCTAATCTTTTTTATTAAGAATTAGGGATGAAAAGTAGCTATTAATTTTAGGTGCCTCAGTGTCAAGAATTACTGAGTAACTCAATGTGAAGAGAAACAAATCTAAGAGAAAGTCTTGACATATTGCAATCACCTTAGATCTTTCTGTAATAAATATTACCAGTAAGAATAAAAGATACGTATACACATGAGAAGAACTCTGTTTTCTTTATGTCACTTTAGCAGATTGATTAAATCAATACTCTTGAGCCAATAACACAAAGTCACACTTCTGGCCAAGATCCCGGGAGCCACAGTCACTCTCCCTATCACCACACTGCTCGATTGCCCGCTCTCTGCTATCCAATACACTCAAACTCCTTTCAGGCTCCACTGCCTTCGTGTCCAAATCAACTTTAATGATAAGAACAAGGAGAGGAAGAAAATGAGTACTTATTAATTTTTGGTTTAGTAGAGTTCTTTTAAGTCTTTGAAGTGTGCATTTCTGCTCAAAAAGACATTCTTTTCCCCCTGGAAGATTCAAAGAAAACCTCTTGAACTTGCAAGGCATAAAGGGAGTGGGACCCTGTTGAGAAGAATTCTCAAATGTTAGTGAGCAGACTGATGCAGGTGCCATCTCAGAGACTCAAGTTAGTAGGGTTGGGGTAGGGAGCAGTTCCACTCTTTCACCAATGAGCTGGGGGTTGCGAGGCGGGTGGCCAGAGAGCCTTTCTGTGGAAGATGTGGAAATGGCTGAGAAGAGTCCAGCCGACTCCAACAGCTTGAATACTGCCAGAGTACAGGAGAGTCAAAAAGGCTGCAGGTGGGGCTGAAAGGGGAGCACCATTCTTTTTTCTACTATTAAAAGGCAAAGAAGGTAAGAAGGGGCTTCTTACTCGAGTATAGAATATACATGTATAATCCTGGTCCTACCCCCAAACTAATTCAACCACTTAAAGAAACAAAATAGAAATTTATATTAATAGCTAACAGGATTTTCTGGTTAGCCACAAAACAAAACTCAGTTGTATTTAGTATGTCTTCAACAGATGAGAAATGGTATGAGGGGTATCTATGAGTTTAGAATATTAAAATTATTTACATAAAAGGTACACATGATATTCTTTTTTTCCCTGGCAAGGTCTGTGTTCTAGGTAACACATTTTAATATTCTGAATACTGAAGCAGAAACAATTTTGCATTTTCATGTCAAATATACTATCAATTGAAGTTCCGTAAGAAGCCACCAAGAGGAGCTCCAGACCTGACACAATGGATACCTCGACTGTCAGGGCTCATAAATGTACTTGACAAAACCACACATTCTGATTGTATAGGTTTAGAAAAAAATATGAAACCTCTGAATTTTTTCTTCTGAAATTTATAGTATCACTAATTTGTCCTTAAATTCTAAGTACAAATCTCCTAAGTTACCTGCCAATCTTAAAAAGGAGCTTTAGAAAATGTGTACTTCACACACTGATGTACATGTACTTGGAAGAACAAGCTTCAAGAGATAATACTTGGGCTGAATGTTCTGTACTATAGAATGATACTGTTTCTGGCAGTTTATATATCCAGATGTAAAAAGATTTCTGAATTTCATTTAATAATCAACATAAAAATGAGTAATACAGTTTGGAAGAGTATAATTTCTATAGCAAAAGCCTATTTTCAGAAAGACACCTTGGGGTTGTGTTACTCTAGAAAACTTACTTATTTACTAATCACTTAACATTTCAAATATAAATAATTTTATAAAATTTTGTGAGAGCCTATATCCCTGTAGTAAAGTCAGTCATCAATGCATCAAGGACTTGACATCCATTCTTGAGACCTGTCGTGATTATGTGAACAACTCTATATCAAAAGAAATAGATCACTTCTCAGATTCTTGGAAAGAACTAATCTGTATGATTTCTTAACAAGGGAAGTGAATGTACTTCCTGGAAATATTACAATGACAATCTTTATTTTTTTCTTTAGGGACTCTAGTTTTTCTTTATCAAGTCTTATGTCATCCTTTGTAGCTGCTCTATATTTGGCTTAGACTTTAGGCTGCAAGAAGTTCAGGACGTGAGGAGATCTGCATGGAAGCAGGGCTGAGTAGGTGGAAGGGACCTCCTCTGTTCCGTTATCTTTGTTGTAAAATTGGTGTGCAGTGATCTAACAGCACAGGCAGAAACAATTTCCCAGAAAGCAAAAACATTCAGCCATCAGCAGACAGTTAAGAACTCAGAGGAGGTACGGGTGGTTTGTTAGAGTCATTACCTCACAGGATGAAGACTGAGTGCGGTAGCTTGGCACGATCTTGAAGGTAATACTTCCTCGCATTTCTCTCTGTAGGGGAAAAAACGGGTCCTCTTTACAAACAAATGTTTCACACAAAAACAACAAAAGAAACCACTCAAGACAAGTGGGGGGCAGTTAGTGTAAGCCACCTAATGGCGCACAGTGCTAAAACGAAACATAATTATGAACCAGGGACTGCTGATATGAACAGACGTTTCTGGGAAAATCCCAGCAAGGCCAAGGCTGATTGCTCTGTTTCTAGCACAGATCTTACAGAGATCTCTGCCAGTTACCTTTTTATAGACATGAAAACAAGGCGCTTTAAATGACATGCCTTTCACAAGTAACTATAAATTGAACTAGACAATAGACTAATCACATAAAAATCCTATTTACTATGTTACTCTGTGATGGTGTACTCCATAAAGTTTGCTTTTACTTTATTAATTTGGGTTTTGTTTTTTACTGTATTAACTCTGTGGTTCTTATTTGAAACTTAATAGACATTCAGTACATGGGAAGCTGCTACATCACAGTGAGAAACGGGGCCAGAGGCCCAAAATATCTCTCTTTTCTCACTTATATAATAGTGAACACAGGCAAGGGGCCTGCCATTTTGCTTCTTAAAAAAGTCCAAAGTCTAATATGGACACTGACTTTAGACATATACAGTCACATCACACGGCCTGGCCTTCAGTGACTTTCCTCCCATCTGCGCTGCAGAGAAATCCACTACAGCTCTCTATGACTCAGCTAAACATTGCTGATGTGAAGACAGTGGAGGTCAGTGAGAAAGTAGCTCACACGCACGCACAGACTGGGAAGGTATTCTTAAACATCTTAAGTCAATTAAAGGGTGAAGGGAGAATGTTATGAATCTACATTGCAAAAGGTGGGTAAAATGTTTCCAAACTCTGTTGCATTTAAACATTTTCCTATAGATGCACCTTGAGTCCATAATGCTAAGTGAAATCAGATACAGAAGGTTAAATACACGAGAATCTTGAAACATAAATAATTTAAAGAGCAAAATAAAAGATAACAGGAAATGGAGATAAGAGTGTGGAGATGGGAGCGGATCTGGGGATGGGGGGAAACAGGAAGGAGGGGAGGGGAAGAGGACATGAAAGGGATCAATACGCAATACATATATGTACCCATACCCCACAATGGATATATTCATTATGTATCACACATATAGTAATAAAAAATTTAAAAACCATAAAAATGAGTTCAAAAGGCATAGGAAAACAAAAAAAAAACTCTTTCCTCATTGCCAACTTTCATAATGTTGGGTGAATTCAGGTTCCTATAAATGATGGTAACAGAAATGCTTTGCGTATGAACAAATACCTGTTATTTGTAAATTTAAAAAAATGAACTGAAAGTTAATTTCAGAAGATAGGGAAACTTCTTACAAGCATTTTTTGCAGCTGTTCCACTGTCTGGTTAGCCACGCTGATGCCATTGATTTCTCGAATTTCATCACCAACATGAAGTGTGCCTAAGAAATTACACACAAGTTTATAAACAAGAAATGATACATGCTTTATAGTAATAAAGTCCAAAAGCAGCAACTTAAGTTTTAAAAATTAAGTTGAAGGACAATATTTTGGAAGCAGGTACAGGTTTGGCAGCAGCAGAATTATTTGACTCACATAAACTCACCAAAACAGATACATCTACTTATGGAAGGCAAATTTTTGTTTATTTTTCTGAGATAGGCAATATGTATAGAGGTTTGAAAATATGACTTCTGGGTCTAGACTGTATGGGTTTAAATCCCAGCTTCCTCATTTACCAGCTTTAAGATCTTGGATAAATTACTGAAATTCTCCATGCCTCCGTTTTTACTTTTGTAAAACGGAGATAAAAACAGTACCCACCTCATAGGATTGAGGACAATATGAATTTAATACCTGAAGAGGGTTTAGAATTGTTCTTGGCACACAGCACTGCATAAGTGTGTACTGCTATGACTATCTGCCAAATATGAGACAAACATTTCAAACCTACAAGAATTGTGATATGATAATATCCGTAGAACACTAAACTTATATTAAATGTATTTAATATTTTATAATTGTTTGATAATCATTTTAGCATCCTATAATATTTCAATTGGAAAAAGTGAGAATTAATGTTCAGAGAGTATTAACATTTGCTTCCTTATTTATAAGTTGTGCATATATGTGGCTTCTCTATGAAAAGCTCACAGTATTTTTCAGCAGTACATACCCAGATGGGTATAACTGAATAATATGCCTGAGATTGCTGAAGAATAATCTAGGACAGTAAACAGTATGGCAAATATAAAACACAGTGTGGTCGTGAGCTAATGATCATTATGGGTGAGCTACAGGTACACGGGTGATGACTGCACTATGTTGTCATAACAGGTGACTTCTGCTTCCAGCATGGCTGACTGGGTGCTCAACGACTTCCTCACAATTATATTCCACCTAGGGTATACTTCTTCAAGAGCTGTTGGTCACATAAAAGGAGTACAGGTCTCTAAGAGCACTTCCCATTTTCATCCCTACCCTCCTCACCACACAAACCCTATGAGCTAGATCCAGAGTGGTGGCAAACTAAGGGTAGAACGACCTAGTGGAAACATGAATGGCATAGTAGCAGTACCTGCTAGTTGGATTCTGAGCCTTGGCACAATGGAAGTTAAAGAAGCTACACCTAGGATTCTGTAGGAAACCAAACTCAGATCAGTAGCATTACATGGCACATTACATTACATGGATCAGTAGCAGAACAAGGAACAAATCATCTTTGAAGGAAAGCATTCTCAGTGTAGGTCTATGGGACTTCCATGGATTAGAGCAACCAAAGAGTTCACAATTAAAGATCAGGAAAAATATAATCAGACAAGCTGCTAGGTGAGAGAGTTATCAGAAACAGCAAAGACTTAGACCCTTAAGGACAAGTGATGTCAGAATTGTCAGATATAGAATATAAAATAGCTATATGTTAAATATTAGAAAAAATAAAGGACTCAATTGCAAGGATAAGTACTCATTAAGAGACTACCAGATGTGAGCAGACAAATATTAAAATAAAAAAGACTAGTAACATAAAACAAAAATATAAGTGTTGATATAAGATAATGAATGGATGAGTTAAACAGGAGTTCAGATGGGCCTGGAGAGGGTTTAAGTAAACTGGAAGATATAACCAAAAAAAATCACCTAGAATGCGGTTCAGAGAAATAGACATAAGGAAAACAGGAAGCAAGAAATAAAGAATAAATGAAAAAGATGCTAAGAGATATTGGAGGAAGGTCTAATATTCATCTTACTGGAGTTCAAAAAGCAGAACAATGTGTGAAGGAATAATAGTTGCAAATTTTCTTGAACTGATGAAAACATGATCACACAGACCCAGGAAGAATAGTATCCAAAGCAGGATAAATAAAAATAAATCCCTAGTGAGAGACAGTGAAAGTGTAGGACATCGAAGGCTTTTAAAACATCCAGAGAAAAATCAGATTACCTCCAGAGTAAGGACAATTACAGGAACATCTGACTTTTCAGTATCAGTGTTCCCCAAAGGATGTGCTGAGACACAAGAAGGAAAGGTGAGCAAATAAAATCATAAACATTTATAAAAATCCAAGGGAAAACAACCATATGTTTTAATATGAATTTAAAAGTTATAGTTTTTTTTTCTCGTACTGGGTATTGAACCCAGGGCTTGCTATTGCTAGGCAAGCACTCTATCACTGAACTACAATACACTAGCTCTCTTTTAAAAACTGGGGCAGGGTCTTGCCCAGGCTAACTTGGAGCTTGCCATCCTTGTGCCTTAGACTCCTGCATAGCTGGGATTACAGGACTGGCTTACACTTGTAGATTTAAAACAGGTCAAAGCCAGAACACTGGGCAGTAAAAATACATAAGACAGAAAGAGTGTGATTAAATTTAAATTTAGTGTTCCAATGTCTTTGCATTGCTTAGGAATGGGATTAATTTTTTGTTTAACGGTAGTGTATAGAAAGTTAAATATGCACGATAAGATGTCAAGGTAACTACTAAAAGAATAGAAATAGGATGCTGAAATTCTAAGCTATCAGTGGATGTACTGTAAAATGAATCAAAAGTATCTTAACAAGCCACAGGCCTGCCTGTAACCCTAGCACTCTGTGAGGCTGAGGCAGGAAGACTGCAAATTCAAGCCAGACTGGGTAACTGATTTAGTGAGACCATGCTTCACAAACGTTCTGACTCACAGACTCCTCATACACGGTATTCAGCGCACAGAAATCTTATGATTGGTTAAAGTTAAGCGACTCCAAGTTAAACCCTCAAGTCTGTGTCTATATCTCTAGCTCCTCTTTTGTCTGTATGTTCTTAGTATTGGGCTTCTGATGCCCTTCATTCTTTTGGGGGTATTTGAGAGAAAGTTAAGAAATATATTTAGGAAACAATGAAGCAGTGAGAAGTTTTATTTTCAGGGATATTATAGGTGCTAATACTAGATTTAATTTTTCAGATTTAATTTCTTTATGGATCTGGTAGTTATTTAGTAAATCTCACAAGCCTATGTAATAGTTTAATTGTATAAAACTCCTTTATTACTTTATAGCCTGTAATAATATGTCTGCCTGCCTTTGAAACCCATTGCAATCACTTTGCAGAAATATTAACACATTAGTAAAACTTTTCTTAAACAACAACAAAACAAAAAACAAAACAAAATTAAAATGGTGGGTTATAATAAAACAGTACTTAGAGATAGATTTTAGTTTAAGTGCCTATATTAGAAAAAAAGTAAGCTGGAAATAAATGAAGTGCATATCTAATTTTAAAAGTTAGCCAAAACCAATAGAGTAGAAAGAAGGAGGTAATAAAAACTAGGTCATAAAACAATGAAATAGAAAATAAAACCCAAGGGCCTGGGATTTAGCTCAGTGGTGCTGCCACCTGCCTTGCAAGTGCAAGGTCCTGAGTTCGATCCTGAGCTAAAAAAAAAAAAAAAGGAAAAAAAAACCCAAAGTAGAACCTCCCACCCCATACTAAAGATTGATCCCAGGGCCTTTGCACTGAGCTACATTCCCAGCCAATCTCTGTCTATGCCCCCCTCCCACAGGGACTCGCTGAATTACTGAGTTGGCCCGGACTAGGCCTGAACTTGGGACCCCTTCTGCCTCAGTCCTGTGGACTGCTGAGATTTCGGGTGTGTACGCCATGCCCAGCATCAAAGTACATTTTTAGACAAACCTCTGGCAAGGCTGAGCAAAAGAAAAAAAAGAAAAGGCACAGATAAACCCTATTAAGAATGAACCAGGGAGTATAGTGACAGGAATGGCAGAAAATAAAAAGGAAGACAATACTATGAAGAAGTTTTCTGAAATAATATTTTAAAAACTAGGAGTACAAAGCTAGTTTGGACATAGATGTCTTTCCTATATCCTGGGGCCCTGTGTGATACTCTGCGTTGCCTCCTATGGCCCCTAATATGCTGTGATCTGTGATCTGGAGATGTGTCCAGCCAGCGGAACTCTAATACAGCCTCTTCTCATCTGCAGTCTGTTGTGTGTGCAAATAACAAATGAGGCCAACAGTGACTAAAACCCAAAGGCAACTTAAACAGATCTTTTATATGGACCATAAAACATACTTTCTTTGTTGGACCACAGGAAAAAGTTAAGGAAGGCAAAGGAAGAATTGTTGATGAAACTTACCTTGCCTGTGAATCATGCCTCCATGCATAATTCTTGCGACGATACAATGATTTAGCTCATTCATTTTTAATGTGATTCCCTGTAGAAAAAAATTCAGCAAAATAAATTACTATGCTTGGTATATTTGTGATTGTGCTGTGGGTAATTTTAGTTACAAGTTGAGAAAACATTAAAGAAAACATAGAAAATGAGGACCCTCTATTACTCCACATACAAAAAATTGTTCCATGACAAAAATACTATTTTTAGCATTTTGATTGCTATAATAATGTGCACACATTTTCTATAGTGCTTTTTCATCTTTAATTATGATATTATTTTCCACGTTGCTTTATTTTTTTCATGTTGTCAATTACTTTTAAACTTTTTTATTGTTGTATAACTGAAACACACACATTTAAAGTGTACAATTTGGTAAGTCCGACATGTATATACATGTATTATAACCCCCCATACCGGGATCAAACTCAGGACCTTGCACTTGCCAGGCAGGTGTGGCGCCATGGAGCTCCATGCCTGGTCTCGACATGCATATACACCTGTGGAACTCGCTGCACCAGGGTAGTGACTCTGTCTCTCACCCCCAAACATTTCCTTCTACCTATTGGTGAGCGACTCTGAACTCTCTATACTTTTCTTTCCTTCTCCCCAAGCAACCATTTAGCTTTGGCTGGCTCCAGATTAGGCTGCACAGTCTGTTAATGGAGTCATATAGTGTGAGCTCTTTGTTGTTGCTTTATCTCACTTAGTGTAATTAAAAAAAATTTTTTTTGGTATCGGGGCTCAAACTCACAACCTTGAGATTGTGAGCCAGGTGGCAGCACCACTGAGTTAAATCCCCGGCCCTTAGCATTATTATTTTGAGGTTCGGCCATATTGTTGCATGTATCAGTAGTTCATTCTTTGTTCAGGCCGAGTAGTAATATTCCATGCACTGTTTCCAATTTCTGGCTGTTATAAGTAAAGTTGTGTTCCTGCGTCAATCCCCATTTGGTTGGAAAATATTCATGCTTTGTGTCTGATCCTTATGCTGAACCTATGATATTTTCTGTATTATTTATATTTAAGTATATGTGCTGCTGAAGTGAGCACCTATCGACTTTCTAATATTTTGTTAAGCTGCTTTGCTATAGTTTTGTTTGGAATTTTTGCTTCTATATTCACGAGGGATACTGGCCTGCAGTCTTCTTTCCTTGTAATATTGTCATCTGGTTTTGATACCAGAGTAACACTGGCTTTACACAATGAATGGGGAAAAATTCCTTCTTTCAATATTTTGGGAAGAGTTTGTATGGAACTGGTATTATTTCTTTACTATATGTGTGTCTTTTTTTTTGTTGTACCAGGGATCTAATTTAGACTGTGTGCTTGCGAGGCAGGTGGCAGAACCAATGCGTTAAATCCCTGGCCCATTTCTTTACTATGTGTTTGGTGGAATTCACCAGTGAAGCTACCTTGGTTTGGGATTTTCTTTAAGGCATTTTAGTTTTCTGTGCTGGGAAATGAATGCAGGACCTTGTCCATACTAGGTAAATTCTTTACCACTTAGCTACATTGCAGCTCCTGAAGAATTTTTTTTTGACATGGGGTCTTGTTATGTAGTTTAGGCTGGCCTTGAACTATGTAGCCTAGGCTGGCCCCAAACGCATGGCAATCCTCCTGCCTCAGCCTCCTGGGATTATAGGTGTGTGCCACCATGCCCGGCTTTAGAAATGGCTTTTAAATAGAAATTCAAGATTTAAATAGTATAAGGCAATTAAGTTTTTCTTCTATTTTTTTTTTGGTGGTTACTGGGATTGAACCCGGGGCTTTGAGTCTTTTGCCAACCACTCCACCACTGCACTGTATCCTCAGCCTTTAATTATTATTTTTTTGAGATAAAGTCTTGCTAAATTACCCAAGCTGGCCATGAACTTTTAATTCTCCTGCCTCAGCCTCCTGAGCAGCTGAGATTACAGGTGTGTATCACTTTGCATTACCAGTTTATTCCTTCTTAAGTGAACTTTGGTAGTTTGTCTTCTATGGAATTTTCCCACTTCATCTATGTTGTTGAATTTATTGGCATAAATGTGATTTTTTTCTTAGTATCCTTTTTTATAAGATGCCACATCTCTCATGCTTGATTTTGGTAATTTGTACCTTATTTTTCTTGTCCTGATTGTACAATCATTTTTCCTGATTGGTCTGATCTGCTCAAAGAAAAAGTGTTTTTTGAGACAGGGTCTCTGTAGTCCAGTGTGGCCTCAAACTCCTGGCATTCCTCCTGCCTCAGCCTCCCGAATGCTGGGATTATAGGCATATGCTACCACACCCAGCAGAAAAGTGTTTCTGTTTTATTGATACTCTATTGCATCTCTACTTCACTGATATTGACTTTGAGCTTTATTTTATCTTTTATTCATTTTGGGTTTAATTTATTCATTTTGTTCTGGCTTTTAAAGTAGAAGCTGAGAATATTTATTTGAGAAATTTCCTCTTTTCAAGACATTGAGTGTTACATACTTTTCTCTAAGTGGTGTTTTAGTGGTATGTTGCAAATTCTGATATGTTGTGGTTCATTTCCATTCACTTCAAAATACTATTTAATTTCTCTCGAGTTATCCTTTATCCATTTTTTTTTAGAATTGTGTTATTTATTTTTCAAGTAATGGGGATTTTTTCTTTCTGTTACTAATTTCTAATTTGATCTTATGTGGTTTGAGAATATACTGATATTAATATAGCCACTTCAATTTCCTTTTGAGTAATGTTATCACGATATATCATATCTTCTACCTTTTTACTTTGAAACTATTTTTATTTATGTGTAAAGTGCATTTCTTACTTGTAACACATAATCAGGTCTTGCTTTTTTTTAACCCCATCTGAAAAACACTCCCTTTTAATTGAAGAATTTAGACTATTCACATTTAACATGATTATTGATACAACTGGATGTAAATATATCTTCTTGCTGTTTGACTTCTACTTGCTCCACCGATTGTATATTTTCTTTTACCTCTACCTTTTTTGGAATTGATTTATTTTTAATACTGTTTTCTCTCCATGTTATCTTATTGGCTACAACTCTTCACTTTATTGGTTTAGTGGTTGTGTTAGGCTTTACAGCATACATCATCTTTTTGTTTGTTTGTTTTGTTTTTTGAGACAGGGTCTCACTATGTAGTTGAGACTGACCTGGAACTCACTGTGTAGCCCAGGCTGGTCTCAAACTCACAGCGATCCTCCTGCCTCAGTCTCCCAAATGCTGGGATTATAGGCGTGTGCCACCCCACCCGGCCCTACAGCATACATCTTTAACCTATCAGCAATACCATACCACTTCACATACACCTCCTTCCTTGCAAGTGGGCAAGGTCCTGAGTTCTATCCCTGGTACCAAAAAACAAAACAAAATACCACAAGTGGTATAAGAACTTTATAATACCTACTTCCATTTCTTTCCTCCCGACCTTTGTGCAATTACAAAAATTTTACCTTATATAAGTTATGAACCCCAAAACATGTTGTTGCTTTTGTTTAAACTGCTAAATAACTTTGAAACAGATTTAGGTAGTAAGAAAAAAAAAACTTAAATTTACCCATGTAGTTTCTACTGCCCTTTACTCCTTTCTTTGGATCCCTACCTCCATCTGTTATCATCCGCCTTCTGCCTGAAGGGCCCTTTAATATTTCTTATAGTGTGGGTCTGCTGAGTTTTCAGCTTTGGTATGTCTGAAAGTGTTTCTATTTTGCCTTTGTTTTTGAAAGATACCTTTGCTGATCTCTCCAGATTCTTAGCTTTGTTCTCTCCATTCAGAGAGTCTGCCTTCTCGGCCTCGGTTTTCTCTCCTGTGCTGTGGCCTGGAAACTCTTTCAAGATAGTAAGGTGGGGGAATTTGGGGGTCAGTCCTTTGCTTCCTGTCTCTTGGGGGATCATTGTCCTTTGCTGCTTGACGTCCAAATTACATTCTTTTCTTTTCGACAAGAGTCTTTGGTCTGTAGTCTGAGCTATGCTTGAACTCACTATGTAGCCCAGGCTGGCGTAAACTTGCAATCCTCCTCCCTCAGCCTCCTGAGTACCGGGATTAGAGGCGTGTGCCACAATGCCCAGCTCCAAATTTCTTTTTTTTTTCATTTAGTTTATTGGTACATTTTAGGTACACAGTACAGTTACATTCATTACTGGAATCCTGTACCTTCACATGACAAGTCTTGGTTCTCATTTTTCCCCCTACCCCTGCCCTCCCTTTACCCCTCCACCCTCCCCTGTTTACAAAGTCTTTGTTTCCAATTTTTACTTTTCTCATATTTTTTCTTTTCCCTTATTTCCTTTCCCCTACCCTTCCCACTTCCCCTACACCTTTAGCCCTTTTCTTCCTATTTCACACCCAGCTCCAAATTTCTTGAACTGTTCTTTCAAGTAATTTAATTTTGTTGTTATTGTTGTTTTGGTTGTCTCAGATGAGAGGGGAAATCTGGTCTCTGTTATTCCATCTTGGCGAGAAGTATGTTTCACAGTCCCATTTAATGTCAGAATAGCATTCTATGGATATTACCTTTTGTTTTCTAATTATTTACTATTAAAAGAAAACTTTCATAAACATATTTTTGCATTAGATCTGGTTGATCCTAAGAATAACACAGGGAACTTTTACATAATATGAACTCTTAAACCCACCCTTTAGATTTAGATTCAGGAAGCCTGGAATGGAGCCCAAAAATCTGTTTTTTAAAATTTTAAACAAGGTCCTTTGGTGGAAAGTAGGTTTGAATTTGAGATGGTTAAGAGTAGGAAATCTCTTTTATATCTTCCTTGGAGAATAATACTCTGTTAGAAAGCTTTATGGAAATATCTGATAATTTATACTCTAATTTAATTTGCCCTATTACATAAAATACAACTTTGCATCGTTCCTATTTTTCAGTTCTCAGAAGTGGTAGGTGAGCGGTGTGAAAAATTAGTTTATCAGAATGTTCCCGGTCCCAACATTTAATTACTGTATAAGGTTCAAGTTTCATTTCCAATTTGCATATTCAATCAGCCTATATGGTTACCATGAGAAGTGCTCCTGGAAAAACACTGTAAATTAATGTGCAAGTCAAATCTAATTTAATAAAGAAAATGATAGTACAATAGAGGCTCTACCCTTAAAACTAACAGATTTATCTATTCATTCAACCAACATGAAGGGAACCTACCACAGGGGTAGGCATTCTGCTAGGCACAGTAGTGAATGAGATACAGAGTCTCATGGTCAGGGGAACTCAGTTCAGCATTTAACAGTTTTTGTTCTGTCTGTCCTAAACATTTCTCTGTAGAGAGGAATCGATTCACTGTCTGTTCTCGAGTTCACAAATTCCAGGGAAGGAATCGGCCCAGCTTGGATTAGGTGCCTACCCCTGAACCTACCACAGCTTGAGGGTACTGGGGGTGGTATACATGTCTGGCCTTTCAGTGCTTGCATGAAGCTTTCCCTGACCGTACAAACTAGTTCGAGTTTGTCCTTTGTCACTTGCAATGCTTGGAGTCCTAATAGAGAAATAATTTATGAGTATGATATTACAACTCAGGAAAACACAGGATGTCTTGGGAGTATACCACTCTTGGGGAATGGACATACTGGACAGAATGCAAAAACCAAAACAAATCTGGGCAATAATACAGTGCTGTGAAGACTACTAAACAAGCAAAAAAGCCATATTAAGTGTGATAGAGACTTACACTCTATCATTGAAAATATATTTTTTATTTTACATAAAATAATTCCCGTTTTCAAAGCAACCAGCCAAAATGAGAAATAAGTCACCGGGATTACAGAAGACAGAAAAGAGGCCTTTTTGCCTTTTTTTTTTTTTTGGGTACTGGGATCGAACTCAGGTCCTTGCTATTGCAAGGCAGGTGGCGGCACCACTGAGCTAAATCTCCAGCCCTGAAAAGAGGCCTTTTTAAAGGTGATTTTCAGGAGAAATTCAAGGCCATTTTATGCTTTCTGGAAAAGTAACTCAGGGATATAGTTTTATGCTTTTACTCAGTCAACGTTTCTGTGGAGCGAACCTTCACATAAGCAGCTGTCATTGGGCTGCTTCTGAACATGGTGCTCACAAGACACTGTTGGGCCTCTTCTTCTTGTTTCTTCCATCTTCCTCTCTGCTTGGCCTGGCTGTTGCCCCTTTTTCCTGTCTCTCCCACACAGCTTTCTCTCCTCTCTATCTGATATAACTGGGCGTGTTCACTGTGCTAATCTGTAAATTTACTCATGTAAGGCAGCCAGCCCTGTTTCGCTGTCATCTGATGTGATTTGCACATAACAGGAACTTAAACATGTGCTGAATGCGTGAATGAATATGAAAAGCAATTGAATAGAATATTTGACTCTCAGAGCCATGAGGGACCTTGGGGATCATTTAGTCAAGTGTGCTTTTTGAGAGGAGCAAACTGAGGCCCACCGACACAGAATTTTCTGTCCCCCACCCCAAGGTCTCAAGAGCTGCCGCCACTCATGCTCCTAAACCCAAGAGTTGCTGAGAAAGTACCAGAAGGGGTGAGGTGACTTGCATACCCCTACCTGCTAAGGATTGTAACACATAACTGACGAGGGGCAATTCATAAGAATTAGAATCAGAAATGTCTAGAGTTGAGGGTTTTCTGGAAATTATGGTCAGAATCACTGCTTTGTAACTCTTCTTTTAATCTAGAAGGCAACTCGTTGACTTTCTGTGGTAGGTAATTTGTTTTTCCATATTCCAATATCCTGTTTCTATGCTGGGGAATGATATAAATGTATCAAATTGAATGTTTTTTCCCCCCTAAAGATGTGGTCCCTTCTGGGAACTTGAAGCTTGTCCATTGTTCCCTGTCTCCATGCCCTATCTCACTGTCAATTCGGTTGTACAAACCTAAGGCTTATGGGTCATCCATCCTTGATCCTTGCTTCTCCTTCATTCTCATTATCAATCCATATTAAGATTGGCTGATTTAGCTTTCTCACTATTTCTTATATTTGTTCATGCCTTTCTATCCTGACATCCATCCCTCTAGTTCAGAGCTCCATCACCTCTCCTTGTGTTACTACAGTTAAGTCTCTTAACTGGTTTTCCTAGATCTACTCTCGTCCCCTTTAATACATTCTCCATAGTGATATTTCTAAAATGAAAATTGGATACATGCTATCTCCTTGCTTAAAACCCCTCAGTAGCTATGCATTGTTGCTAAGAAAAATAACAGAATCCTTAGGGTGTCTTTCAACATTTGTGTGGTTATGTTCTGGCTACTCAACTTGCTGTCTGCAGTACAGCCATGGGGCCTTCTTTCTTTCCACTGCCAGGCTACTCAGTTTACCCGAACAGTGTCACCTCTCTCTGCCCACACCCCAGCTCTGCCTGCTTGGTTATCGCCAAGGAGCCCTTCCTTTCTTGGTCTTCTCCATCTATGAGAATGAGGGTGTATCAGTTGGAGACTGGATAAAGAAGATGTGGTTTTTCCATAAAATGGAGTACTACTCAGCTGTAAAGAATGAGAAGCTAGAGACATTCATAGGAAAATGGATGCACATTGAGCCCATACTCTTAAGTGAAATAAATAAGACACACGTGTAAATACCAAATAGTTTCTCTGCTGCAAGAAACTAAAAGTGTAAATAAGATCCAAATTGTATAACTGATAATGTGAAATAGGAAGAAAAGGGCTAAAGGTGTAGGGGAAGTGGGAAGGGTAGGGGAAAGGAAATAAGGGAAAAGAAAAAATATGAGAAAAGGAAAAAATGGAAACAAAGTCTTTGTAAATGGGGAGGGGGGAGGGAGTGAAGGGAGGGCAGGGGAGCGGGGAAAAAAATAAGAGCCAAGATACATCATGTAAAGGTACAAGATCCCAGTGATGAATGTAACTGTACTGCATACCTAAAAAGTACCAATAAACTTAATAAGATAAAAAAGAATGGGGGGGAGGTTCAGCTTCAGTTGTATTCTAACTTGATTCCCCACACTGAGAAAATTAATTCATATCAAGCAAGTAGATGAGAACAGAATCAATCTTATCTTACTATTGCTATTCCATTCTTTGGATGCCTTCTGAATTAGTCTTTCTTCCTCTAATTTTGGTAAAGGCAAAAATTTGGGAAGTACCAGATTTGTAAAAGGATGTTCAAAGCAATGCATTCGATATTCACTTTCTCAAAATCATCACTAATATTTCTTGTTTTAAAAAATTAATTTTATTGGTACATTTTAGGTATACAATATAATGCCAATCAGCAATGGAAACTTGTACCTTTATGTGATCTATCTTGGTTCTTTTTTTCCCCACAGGGGGATGGGAAACACTAATATTTCCAATTGTCCCTTTCTTTGCTATGCCAAAAGTTTTTACATTTTGGGATAATGTAGCAGTAGTAATGATTTTTCCTTTGGTAAAATTGAAAGGAGAGGTGAGGAGGACCAGCTTGTCTAATAGATAGTGTCAGGCAGAACAATTCTAGGAAAGAAGGGCAGGGGGGATTTGAAGATCTGGAAACGAATTTCTTTACACCTATCCATGGCCTTCCTCCCTCCCACCTCCCACCTCCTAAGCATGGTACAGGCTGAATGAACTTAGTTGATCTACTCAAGCTAGGATTTATGAGATCGCAGAAAACTTTCTTTTCCCACTTACCATTGGTTCATCTGTGTTCTTCTGGAACTGTACCAGCCGAACTCTGGTCACATTCTCCATATCCATGTCTCCGTTAGCACTTTCTGGGGAATCACCGTTTAAGTAAGGAGAGGTGGGAGGAGGAGTGACCCTCAAAGCTTCATCACTGTAAACTTCATGAGCCACTACGTCATGAGTCTGAAGTAAGGCCTAGTATTTTTTTTTAATGAATGAAAGAAAATAATAACATTAATATTCCAGAAGAGATCTATTATTATTCTTTAGTTCTCATTGAAAGACAAATGAAAGTGCGTTATACCTACACATAAGCAGATTCCAATTTCTATGCAACAAACAAACATAGTAGATGGATTAGAAAAAAAAATGAATGTAGGAACGAGGGAAGAAATCAATGTATGGAAAGGTTTGCCGATTATCTAGATTACAGATGCTATCTAACGCTATGAACATACATCCAGCCAACTTGTTGAAATAAATACTGAAATTTCAAATGATGTAGCCAAAAAACCATCTATTAAAAAATCTGGAAAATTTGTACCAGGGCTTAAATAGAAACAAACAAACAAACAAAAAATTGTAGAATAATTGGTGCATTGAACAAGTTTCTTTCATCAATGGTATTCACAATGAGACTTTTATGCAACCTAAAGGATAAAAATAATTTATAACACAAAATTTAGTAAAGAAATTTAAAAACTGTACAAATGCATTTGAAAAAATGCAAAAAATTGTATAAAATATGTGCTAATAAGATTACTGACATTTAGAAATGGGAAGAAAGGAGCTAAAGGTGTAGGGAAGGTGGGATGGGTAGGGGAAGGGTAAAAAGGGAAACGAAAAAAATGTGAGATAATGAAAAGATAGAAATAAACTGTTTGTAGATGGGGAGGGGAGGAGGGGGTGAAGGGAGGGCAGGGGTAAGGGGAAAAAATGAGAATCAAGACTTGTCATGTAGAGGTACAAGATCCCAACAATGAATGTAACTGTACTGTAACCCTAAAATGTACCAATAAACTCAATTAAAGCTGAAAAAAATATGTGCTATGGATCTCAAAATCTAAGCTTATTTAACGTTTTTCTTCATTTCTATTTTTTGGAGCACTTGCCTAAATGAAAAATATTTTGAAAATTATTATTACAAGTTCTTTTATAAAGCCAATGAACAAAGAAAAAATGATTTCTTTGTACTTGTATCTGTATAAGTTATCATGGGCACTTGGATAATAAATCTCCCTTGTTTTCCTAAAAAATGACATCGTTCTACTTACTCTATTTTTTGTGTTATAAGAAACACTTTTTAATAAGCAGGGGGATCTGAACATTTTTATTTCAAAGAGAATTCATAGCTGAGTATCAGTCTGTTTGGAGCTTTAGACAGATCATTTTTTGTGTGTGATGACTATACATTTAGTTCTATTTTAATCTTTGATCTGTGTGGTAATGAAATATCTGCAGATAATGAAATGCAATTAAAATTGCTTTAAAAGGATAACCCTTAGCACCTGAAATTAATTTATTTAATTAGAAGGCTTAGAACAACCATGGCTTGGCTATTTTAATTTTTTGTTTTTTGAGATAGGGTCTTGCTCTATAGTTCAGGCTATCCTTGAGCTTACTATGTAGCCCAGGCTGGCCTTGAATGTGCAGCAATCCTCCTGCCTCAGCCTCCCAAGTGCTGGGATTACAGGAATGCATCACCATGCCCCAGCTCTTGGCTATTTTAATTCTAAAGGTGTAAATATGAGGCAAAAATAGGATAACAATTGTAGAATGAGAAAGAATGTTGTAGAAATGAGAAAGAAGATGGTGCTGATTGGTCATTAGTAGACAATATGTTTGCAGCAATCTGCAGATATGGGTTTCTAATGCAAACAGCAGGTAGTGCCAGCATCTCAGACAGCTGGTCAACTAAAGTTTAGGTGAGGGTTGCTGAGGTACAGTACACAGCTTGAAAGCAGGGCTCCAAAATGGGCCTTTGATCTTGCCTTTGTCACCCAGTGCCCCAAAGACACTCTGCACGGTACTTCTGGGCCCAAGCACGGAAGTTTTTCCATGTCAGCAAAACCTTCTTCTGGTTTAATTGTGGCAACTTAAGAAATTAAGATTCAAAATAAGTCACACGTGTAAATACCGAATCGTTTCTCTGGTGTGAAAAGCTATAATAGTACATAAGATCCTAATGATATAATTGATAATGTGAAATAGGAAGAAAAGGGCTAAAGGTGTAGGGAAAGTGGGAAGGGTAGGGGAAAGGTAAGGGAAAGAATAGGAGAAAATGAAAAAAAATGGAAATAAAGTGTTTGTAAATGGGGAGGGGAGGAGGGGGTGAAGG